ACCACTAGCATGATAGGATAACCCTGTCCATGTCTGATTCTTCCAACACTAGACCAAGTGCTCAAGAAACATTATGTCTGATGTATCTAAATCATTGCCTTAACCCTTACTTAAATCTGCTCAGCCATTTGTAGACTCTAAACATTACAAAAGACAGACAACTAGATTACAAAGTACAACATTTTCACTGAAAAGTGTGCTTTTGTTCTTCCTCAGAGTACCTTAATGGGGAAAAAAGGAGGGGAATGAAGAAAAAAAGAAAAAAGGAAGGAAGGAAGGAAATTGCAAAAATAAGAAGTTAAATTTCCAAATTTTATTTGCATGTAGGCCTAGCCTCAAGTCCTCGCAAATTTGTCATAGTTCAGGTCACCAGGAATAGGGATCAATTCAAATCTTAAATGTATATATATGTATTTACATATATACTTCCTAACTTTATGCCAGTTTTGCTCAGGGGCCTAACACTGCTAGAGCCAGTTCTATAGATTTAGGGGAAAAAAAAATATATATATATATATATATATATATATATATATATATAAATGTTTAAGGAGGTACTGAATTTCCTGTACTAAATAGAAAAAAAAAAATGTGCAGTATTTCTTGGATAAAATTTAAATAACAAGCCTTTTTTTTTTTTGAAATCCTGTGACTTTTTTTCTTTCTTCTCCCCAGTGTATTCAACTACTTTGAAGTAGTGAAATCAAAACTGAAAGCCAGAGAAAAATGAAAAAGAAAAAAAAAACAGTTTAAGCCCAATAACTGTGAAAATAAGTTTTTTTTTTTCTTTTGTAAAGGGGTGGAGATTAAAAACAGTACTTGGAAATAATTAAATTAAACCACTTGGCATTTCAAAGGAAAATATCACCAAACTGCATGAAAAACCTGAACTATCGCTCAGTTGCTTTTCAGGTATTTAAACCTAATATTGGGTGCACCCATGATTCCTTCTATTGGTCACTACTTACTCACTTTTAAAGGCTCTTTTTTTGGTGTGGGGGGAATCTAAATGTGACCTGTGGAAGACAAGAAAGACAGAGGAATAAAATCACATACTTTTAGGTAATGAAAAGAAGTGACAGAAAAATACGTTGTCCAAATATCCCTTAGTTAGCCAGGGCTGTTATTTGGAATTATCTTAATAAAAGGGTGTGCAATAAAAAGCAAGACTGACAGAGGTCAAATTTTCAAGCTTTTTGTGAGAAAAGACAGAGCATGAATTCATGTGGCCTCATGTCTTGCATCCCTTATGATAGATAGCTTTTTTCTTGCATGTTCTCTTTCAGTGAAAAATATCCAGCTACCAAGGCAGGACACCAGTTGACCACTGGATGGGAAGGGACTCTTTATGGATGTTACCTTGCATTGTGAAAATTCACTTGGTAAGAGAGTTAGCACTAAGAGAACTTATTAGTCCTCTGTTACTAAAGAATATTTTCCACGTGGTGCTCAATAGCTCTCTCAAAGTAGTCTTCTATTGAGGGGTGCAAGGCATGATAGAAGAATAATACATTAGGAAATTAATGAAGCTCATTCCATCTATGTCTCTAGCCTTCATTGCCATTGTAGGAACATTGGTAAAAGGCCAGGAAAATAACAAAAATAGAAGTTGCACCACATGAGCAGAAAAGATAATGCCACACTGAAGAGAGAACAAAGGGGTTATAAGTTCTGAAAAGTATTATGCATCAATGGAAATTTATACAGGTGGGAGGAAAGGAGGTCAGAGAGGAGGATATGGTATCTGAAACATGTTCCCAAGACTTCAGTTTTATGTTCAGTTATTTAAGTTCAGACTTCTAAGTATGAGCATTTTGGAGCACCATATGATGACTTGCACATTTTTTTTATCTATCCAGGTAAAACAAAGAAGAGAAAAGAGAAAAGGCTCACGATAATTCAGACTCCAAAGCATGCTGTAGATTCATAGAGCATCCAGAATGACTGTTCATAATAATTTCATCTGTTATATAGTTTGTCAATGACTCTCTCCAAGAACTTGTATTCATAGGCAAAGCATTAATTGCCTGGGATAGATGATGATAAGATGATGAGAAGTGGGTTAGCTGGCATAAAAAGTGACCAAATGGTATTAATACAGGAAAAAAATATTTCCTTAAATCTTCATGGTGAAATTTGTTAATGGGCCTCAGATATGATACTTAACTCTTAATTTTATTTTTACCCCTAATGCTAATAGCAAGTATAGGGTAATAAATCTGATATTAGAGAAGAGAAATTGTTGGCTTACCTTCTTTTTCAGTGTAAAACATAGATGTGGATATAATTCATGAAGCAGTTTCTCCTAAAGTAAATGCCCAAAATACGTTTGATAAAGAATACAGGCATCTAAAATATTTTACAATTGGCTTTTGAAAAATGTCCATTTTCTTCATTCTAGATAGAACTCTCATAGTAAACTTGGAAGTATAACCTGAGTAAATGATGCATGGTGTAGTGAGTATTAAAAATACTCCTAGAATAAGTGAAACATACTACAATTTGGTATGGACTAAGAAAATAGGAGATTTATTTGGTAGGAATAATATCAGTGATAGACCTTCTTTTAAATGTGAAATTATACAGGGTTTTTTTAAAATTTGTCTTTTTTTTTTTTGGTTTTGCTGTAAAGTGACAGTATTTATTTATTTATTTTTGTTAGAAGTGATTATGATGTACTAAGGGCCTAAATGGAAGGCTCAGGTGACTCGTGGAACCTCAATATGCAGTTAGGAAACCCATCTATTGAGCAAGAAGGAAGAGTGGGATAAATATAGGATTATATGGGATTGTATAGACTGTACATGTATTTCTAAAGATTGGTTTAATTACCCAAGGGATGTTACAGTCTTGAACTTTGACAATTGCATGAAACAGCAGGGATGCATCCTTCCAGAGAAAGAACAGGGGTGAATCAGTGCTCATCTCTTACCGCTGTAAGTCCCATTTGATTTTAAAGGGTATAGCTTACTTAGTTGTTATTCAGTTAGATCCAATGAGACATAGATAGCTCTCCAGAATTAGATCAATGAGCTTTCAAGAGCTCTATTAACAAACTTGGCTTTGTCATGAGACTTGCTTGGCATGAATGACATAGTGATAGTGCTATCTGCATGAACCTCTCTTTTAACCAGGGTATATATGATGTACATATGCTGTCTAGAGATGCACTAATATGTGTGTACATGCACAAGTATATATATGCTAGTGAAATAGCCATGTTGGTATTCAATCTCTACAGCTCCCTAAATATATTCCGAAGTAGGTGAGAAAATCAAACTGTTCTGATTTGGCCTTTGTGGGACATATATATATATATATATATTCATCTGAGCCATGTCAGCAAAAAAAGCAGCCTTCTTTTCCAGAAGCTTGAATAATTAAGAAATTCAGCTTTATTACTCACACACTCCCTTTTCTTTCCATTTCATTATTGGAGATGCTTCAGGCTAGACTTCCTATTCTTTATTTGTGTCTTTTATTTCAGGAAAAGAAGAGTATGTAGCCTAGCAGAAAACTGATTTATGCTACATTTTTAGAATTAGAAAATTCAAAACTGACAATCTGGAGGGGTTAGTAGATGGGGAAGATATACAATTAAAATAACTTTCTGTTTATTAAAGTCAATTAAGTTCATAAGAGGAAAGAAACATTGCATCCTTATTAGAATCACTTAAAAATATTTACTAGGACAAAGACATAATGAAAACAATGAGGTGCTAGAGTTCACAGACATTGGAAAATAAGGAACAATCTTATTATTAGTGTAAGGCCCTAAAGCAGAGAAACCCAAATGTAAGAAAGATCATTTTCCTATGATTTCAGTCACCAAAAGCAAAGAGAACTATGAAATGAATGGAGCTAATGAGCTCAACATTGGGAGTCCTGTCACGCAAAGGGAGCATTAAATAATCAAATGTAATATAAACACTGAGAGCAAGATGGAGCGTCTGCTAACTGTCAGGGCCTAGAAGCAGCAAAGCAGTAATTGTTTTCAAAATCAAGTTTGTCTTGTAAACAGAATCAGTGAATGCCATCCACATCTGTGGATTATTCCATAGGTATTTGGTGGTGAGGTTCCCCACTCCCTTCTTTCCTTTTCTCCACGTTGGTCAAAGCTCAAAAGGTTGCAGGTGTTTTTTGTTTGTTTGTTTCAATGTGATTAAGGTAAGAACAAAACAAATGCAAAGAACTACCAAGGAGAGTTTTCAAACAACCACCTCCTCTGGAGGCTCTAACCCTTGGCTTACATACAGGTCTATCTTTGGGACTTTGTGACAAAGAAGATACAACATATTTTTAAGGGATATATAGTTTTGATCCCATATGAAAACCACTAAGTTAGCAAGACTTCCAGTCTACATTTCCCCAAGGTCAGCATAACCAACTCACTAATTATAAACAGTATTTTGAAAGTAGTCAGAACAAATGGACATTTTTAATGCAATTGAATCTATCTATCCAAAATGGTTAATGCAATTTATCCCTTGCTTTACTCCAATTTTTAGTATTTATTTTCTTTCATGCAATTCTTTGAGTTATGTAATGAGGGTATGTTGCTTCATGATGCCCAGTATTTTAGAAATTTTACCTGTATTTTCTTATGCCATCACTTCTTGAACCTCTGACACCAGTGGGCAATAACCTAGCTAACATTTCACATAAAATTGAAAAGAGGCATCAGTTCAGTTACAGAAAATCTAATTTTAGCAGCTTTCTTTTATTTTTTTCCTTTTAATTTCAAGCTACTACTTTTTCCCATGCTTCACCTAGATTTATGCTATTGTATGTTGTTTTAAATGATCAACCCCACAAGAGGGTGCTGAGTGAGGTGCACATTTTCTTTGTACCTGTTGCTGCTATCAGTAATCTTATATTTAAAAATTTTCAGAGCCTAAAAGTTACAGTAAAAAGGGGAAGAGATTGGGTAAGGAGCTGCCTATGATAAGTCAACAACAACAACAACAACAACAACAACAACAAAAATCTCTCTTGGACCCTTTAAGGTGCCACAGAAACAAATCAGGAATCCAGGATTTCTCTCTTGTCTCTATTCCACAAATGGAAGCATGGGGTTCAGGAAGAGGTTTATAAATGAATTCCTGCACTGCTAACCACATAGTGTAGATGCAGATCTGTGAGACTGAGTAAATGTGGAACATAAGAAAGTACTTTACAAACTGTGGAAATAGAAAAACTCAATAGGCAACCATGCACACATGTGGCTCTTATTCGGTCTAAAGTAGTATAGCAGGTCTCTTGAGTGGTCGTTGTCACCAGGACAGGCTTGTGCAGAGGAGGTGGTGTAATAGTTGTTGGGAGTTTCTTGGGGTTTGGGTAAGGGTAAGGATAGGGTCTTCTCAAAAGGAAAAGGGAAATAAATAAGGAGGAAGTAGAAAACAGAAAGAAGGGGGAAAAAGAATTTGTGGGGATCATTGAGTCCATCAGATGAAATATTCCCGTTTACACTCGCTTACTGTGTTCTGCAAATCAATGTCATTTCTAAAGGAATTGTCCAAATTTTCTGGGTATTCTTTCTCTTTCATCTGGTTAGTTCGATGTGAGTGTTTATGTTGGTAAAGGAATCGAGTCATGATACCAATGATGCAGAAGATGACGAATATCACCACTGCTATTACACCTAGAAAGAATCAGGAGAGAAACAGATAAAAAAATAAATCACACCTTATCCATCAAGCAGAGAGTTTGAAGGGTCACAGGGCAGAAAAATAATTTATACTTAGAGGACCCAGGTTCCAGTAAAAGCTTTGTTATCTCATATCTTTGTGACCTTGGGCAAATCATTTAACCTCACTGGGTCTTAGTTTACTTATCTAAAAGTAAAAGTACTTTTATGGCATTACAGGCCTTCCATAGATACTTCTAGCTCTAAATATATGATTCAATGATATCTAAGCTCAGGGGCAGCTAGATGGAGCAGTAGATAGAGCACCAGCCCTGAATTCAGGAAGACCTGAGCTCAAATCTGGCCTCAGACACTCGAGCTATGTGACCCTGGGCATGCCACTTCACCCCATTCCTCACCAAAAAAAAAAAAAAAAAAGATTTCCAAGCTCCTTGCTCCCTCCTCATTCAATGACAACACAGCAAAGAGCTAAGGGATCAAGGAAACTTTTATGAAGAAGTGAGCATTTGATTTAGCCTCTAAAGAGTACATGGGACATTAGCTAGTGGATGTGGAAATGGGGGAAGAAGAAATTAAAGTCAAATAAAGGCAAGGAAGTAGGAAATCAAAAAAGAGTATTTAGAGAATCTATAGTAGGTCAGTTTACTTTTATGTTCAGGGAGCTGTAGGAGAAAGTCTAGAAAAATATGTTGGGGCTAGAGCATAGACACTCTTGAAAAGCAGGCTCTGAAATTTTAACATAATTTAGGAGGCATTAAGAAGACAGATAGTAAGATGGGAGAATAGGGGCAGCCAATTAGCTGAACTCTCCCAATATTCCCATCCAATCAAATTTTGGAGCAGCAGAGCCAACAAAAGGTCATGATAAGACACTTTTTTGGCCTAAGAAACCTTGATATTGTCAGAGGTCTATGGCATAGGGATGGAGGCTTGTCTGGAGCTCAGTTGCAGTAATAGCAGCTTTAGGAGCTCTCAGCACAGAGAAAGTAAGGGTCAAATGACTGGTCAGAAAGAGATTACAGTGGACCCCTTGTAGGGACTGGGTACAGCTGGCTCTTCTGGCAAGCCTATTGCCCTTACTCAGTTCTGGGTCACAATTCCAAGGCTGAGAGTCATGCTGGTGGTCAGTCGCAAGGGAGCAGGTCCCTGGTCACGGTACCAAACAAGGAAAAACATTAGCAAGTGTCACTACAGGGGACCAGAGTCCCTTCCATAGGAGAGCAGTAGCCACACCTCGCCTAAGATCATACTAACTTAGAAGCACCAAAAACTTGCAGACCCCTAGAACTAGCTCTGAAAAAAGAAGTATGAAAAAGCCTGAACCTTGGGACAGTACTCTCCCAATCCCAGGTGAGCAGAGCCCAGCTTTAACATAAAGTTAAAAGTCAAAAACAAGGCTGGAAAAATTGCAAATAATAAAAAAATAGAATTTGACCATCAGAAGTTACCACAGTGAAAAGGAGGACCAAGACATAAACTCAGAAGAAGACAACAGTATGAAAACAGCTACAAAAAAGTCTCAAACAATAATGCTAATTGAACCCAAATGCAGCAAAAACTCCTGAAAGAGTTAAATAAAGAGATAAGAGTCATAGAGGAAAAAATTGGGAAATTAAATGAGAGTGATACAAAAGAGAGAGAGGCACAAAAAACACTGAAGAAAATAACACCTTAAAAAACAGAGTTAATGGGGCATCTAGGTGCTGCAGGGGTTAGAAACACAAGCCCTGAAATCAGGAGTACCTGAATTCAAATCCAGTCTCAGACACTTACTAGCTGTGTGAACTAAGGCAAGTCATTTAACCACAATTACAAAAACAAATAAAAACTGAATAAATAAATAAACAAACAAACAAACAAAGCCAGAGTTGGCCAAATGGTAAAAGAGGAACAAAAATCCGCCGGAGAAAACTCCTTAAAAAGCAGAATTGGCTTCATGGAAAAGAAGGTATGACATCTCACTGAAGAAAATAATTCCTTAAAAATTTGAATTGGATAGGTAGAAATTACTGACTCTATCAGCATCAAGAAACAATAAAACAAACTCAAAACAATGAAAAAAAATAGAAGGAAATGTGAAATATCTTATTTGAAAAATAACTGACCTGAAAAATAGATATAGGAGAGATAATTTAAGAATTATTGGAATACCTGGAAGTCATGATCAAAAAAAGAGTCTAGATATCATATTTCAAGAAATTATCAGGGGCAACTAGGTGGCACAGTGAATAGAGCTCCAGCCTTGGAGTCAGGAGGACCTGAGTTCAAATCTGGCTTCAGACACTTGACACATACCAGCTGTGTGACCTGGGCAAGTCACTTAACCCCATTGCCTAGTCAAAAAGGAAAAAGAAAGAAAGAAAGAAAGAAATTATCAAGGTAAACTGCCCTGATATTTAGATTCAGAAGGTAAAATAGAAATTGAAAGAATCCACTGACTACCTCCTGAAAGAGATTTCAAAATGACAACTCCCAGTAATATTACAGCCAAATTCCAGAATTCCCAGGTCAAAAAGAAATACTTCAAGCAGCTAGAGAGAAACAATTCGAATACTGTGGAACCAGTTAGGATCACACAAGATATAGCAGCTTCCATGTTAAAGAAACAGAGGGCTTGGAATACAATATTCTAGAAAGCAAAAGAGCTGGGATTACAATCAAGAATAACATAACAGTAAAAACCAGGAGTAATTCTTCCGGGGCAAAAAAATGGATATTTAATGAAATATGTGACTTTCAAGTAATACTGATGAAAAGAACAGAGCTGAATGGAAAATTTGATTTTCAAATGCAAGCTCTAGAAAAACATGAAAAATAAATCATAAGGTTAAACTGTTTACATTCCAGTATGGGAAAATGATACATGGAACTCCAAGAACTTTCTGATCATTAGGACAGTTAAAAGGAGTTTACATAGACAAAAGCATGGGTATAAGTCAATAATGTTGGAATGATCTCCAAAAATATTATGAAGGGGTGAGAAAGAGGGATGCACTGAAAGAAGAGGGAAGTAAGAGGTAGAATGGGGATATTTTTCTCTCATAAAAGAGGCAAGCAAGAGCAGCTCGATGGCACAGTGGATAGAGCTCTGGACTTGGATTCAGGAAGACCTGAGTTCAAATCTGGCCTCACACACTTGACACTTACTAGCTGAGCAAGTCACTTAACCCCAATTGCCTCACCATAAATAAATAAATGAGTAGACAGATAGGTAAATGAATGAATGAATGAATGAATGAGTAAATCAATAAATAAATAAATAAAAGAGGCAAGCAAGGAAGAGCTTTTACAATGGAGGGGGAAATGGGGTGGTGGCAGGCAATGCTTTGAACCTCACTCTCATTGGAATTGATTCAAAGAGGGAAGAAAAAATATGCACAATTATGTATAGAAAAGTAATTTACCCAATAGGGAAATAGGAAAGAAAGGTGATAAGAGAAAGGGGTGGTGGAATAATAAAAGAGGGAGCAGATTAATGGAGGTGGTGTTTAAAAGCACAATAGACTTTTGAGGAGGGATAGGATAGAAAAGAGTGAGAGAAGTGTAAATAGAAGAAAATAGGATGGAGGGAAATGCACTGTTAGCAAACATAACTGTGAATGTGAATAAGATGAGCTCACCCATAAAATAAAAGCAGATAACAGAACTGATTGGAAACCAGAATGCAACAGTACACTTTTTACAAGGGAAACACTTGAAACAAAAAGACACACAGAGCTAAAAAAAAAGGGGCTGAAACAAAATCTAATACACTTTAGCTGAAGTTAAAAAAAAAAAGCAGGAGTAACAATCATGATGTCAGATAAAACAAAAGTAAAAGCAAAAATAATCCTAATTGAGATAATCAGGGAAACTATATTATGTTAAGAGATCCCATAGACAATGAAGTAATATTTCATATATATATATATATATATATATATATATATATGAGGTTTCTCTGATAAAGGCCTTATTTCTCAAATACATACTGAACATAGAACAGAGCCAAATTTATAAAAAAAAATAATCATTCTCCAATTAATAAATGGTCAAAGGATATAAACAGGCACTTTTCAGAAGAAAAAATCAAAGCTATATATAATCATATGAAAAATGCTCTAAATATTTATTGATTAGAGAAATGCAAATTAAAACAACTCTTAGATACCACCTTGCAACTATCAGAAATGACAAAGGCTGGAGGGGATGAAGGAGAAAAAGGACAGTAAAGCAATACTGGTAGAGTAGTAAACAGGTACAATCACTTTGGAGAACAATTTGGAAATATGCCCAAAAGGCTATACTCTTTGACCCATACTACTACTACTACTACTACTTCTACTGCTACTACTACTACTACTACTACTACTACGATATCTGCATCCCAAAGAGATCATATGAAAAGGAAAAGATGTATATGTATTAAAATATTTATGCCAGGGGCAGAGCCAAGATGGCAGAGTAAAAGCAGGGACTGGCTTGAGATCTTCCCCAAACCCCTACAAATACCTGTAAAAAATGACTCTTAACAAATTCTAGAGCCACACAACCCACAAAAAGACAGAGTAAAACAAATTTCTAGCCCAAGACAACCTGGATGGTTGATCAGAAAGTTCTATTGCGCCAGGCTGGGAAAGAAACGCAATTTAGCATGGACGTGCAGGCAAAAATCAGGCCTCAGCAAACCTGGAGCAGGCCTCAGGAGACTGAATCACAGGCAGCTATGGCAGTTTCCAGACTTCTCAATCCACAAACGCCAAAGATATCTTAGAAGGTCAGTAGGAAAAGACTGGGACTGCGGTGAGAGAGAAGCTTGGTCCAAGCCCTAGTCCTGGCACAGCCCCGGGGTGGCAGCAGTTTCTGGAGCTTCCAGCCCACAGACTGAGGGGGAAATCGAGTGGCAGATCAGAGGGGGATTGCAGGAATCTTTTTGCTGGTGCTGAGGCAGGATTTTCTTGCTTTGCCTGTGTTAGGATCTGGGTCACAGTTCTGGGTAGCAGTCCTGGGGCGAGGAGTGCTGGCATGGTGGAGCTTGTAGTGGTGGTGGAGAGGGAATTCTCCTCACAGTTCTAAGGCAGAAAAGAGTGCTTGTGGTCACTCATAGACCACAGCCCAGGCCAGGAAAGCAGCAAATACCTTGCCCTTGATCATACCACTTTGGAAGAACTGAAAACTTACAGGTCCATAGAAGTATCTCTGAAAACAGCTACACAAAACCCCCAAAACTTGGGACAGTACATTCTCCACACTGGAAGCAGACCTCTACCTTAACAAATAGTTTAAAACTCAAGTAATTGGATGGGATCATGAGCAAACAAAGGCACAAAAAAGTCAGACCATAAAATCTTACTTTGGTTTCAAAGAAGATCAAAACACACAACCAGAAGAAGACAATAAAGTCAAAGTTCCTACATCCAAAGCCTTCAAGAAAAATATGAATCAGTCCCAGGTCATAGAAGAGTTCAAAAAGGATTTTGAAAAGAAAGTAAGAGAAGTAGAAGAAAAACTGGGAAGAGAAATAAGAGTGATACAAAAAAAATAATGAAAAACTAGCCAACAGCTTGCTAAAGGAGACCCAAAAAAATACTGAAGAAAATAACACCTTAAAAAATAGCCTAACCCAAATAGCAAAAGAGGTCCAAAAAGCTAATGAGGAGAAGAATGCCTTCAAAAGCAGAATTGGTCAAATGGACAAAGAAGTCCAAAATCTCACTGAAGAAAGTACTTCCTTAAAAATTAGAATAGAGCAATTGGAAGATAGTGACTTTATGATAAATCAAGTCATTGTAAAACAAAACCAAAAGAATGAAAAAAATAGAAGACAACGTGAACTATCTCATTGGAAAAACAACTGACTTGGGAAAATAGATCCAGGAGAGAGAATTTAAAAATTATTGGACTATCTGAAAGCCACAATAAAAAAAAAAGAGCCTAGACATCATCTTTCAAGAAATTATCAAGGAAAACTGCTCTGATATTCTAGAACCAGAGGGTAAAATAGAAATTGAAAGAATCTACCGATCACCTCCTGAAAGAGATCCCCAAAGGAAAACTCCTAGGAATATTATAGCCAAATTCCAGAGTTCCCAGGTCAAGGAGAAAATATTACAAGCAGCCAGAAAGAAACAATTCAAGTATTGTGGAAACACAATCAGTATAACACAAGATTTAGTACCTTCTACATTAAGGGACCAGAGGGCTTGGAACATAATATTCCAGAGGGCAAAGAAGATAGCATTTCAGCCAAGAATCACCTGCCCAGCAAAACTAAGTATAATCCTTCAGGGGGAAAACGGTCATTCAGTGAAATAGAGGATTTTCAAGCATTCTTGATGAAAAGACCGGACCTGAATAGAAAATTTGACTTTCAAATCCAAGACTCAAGAGAAGCATGAAAAGATAAACAGGAAAGAGAAATCATGAGGGATTTATTAAGGTTGAATGTTTTACATTCCTACATAGAAAGATATTTGTAACTCATGAGTGCTTTGTCAGTATTAGGGTAGTTGGAGTGAAAAAAATATATGTATAGATAGGTTGATAGATAGAGGGCACAGGGTGAGTCAAAGATGAATAGTTGACACCTGGAGAATAAAATTAAAGGGTTAGAGAGGATTATATTGGGAGGAGGAAGGTAGAGGTACAATGTGGTAAATTATCTCACATAAAACAGACAAGAAAAGGCTTTTACAGTGGAGGGGAAATGGGGGAAAGTGAGAGGGAATGAGTGAATCTTATTCTGATCAGATTTGGCTTAAGGAGGCAATAACATACACACTCAATTGGGTATGGAAATCTATCTTACCCTACAGGAACACAGAGTGTAAGGGGATAAGAGAGCAGGGGGATGATAGAGGGGAGGGCAGATTGGGGGAGGGGGTAATCAGAAGCAAACACTTCTGGGGAGGGACAGGGTCAAAAGAGAGAATAGAACAAATGGGGGGATAGAATGAAGGGAAATATAGTTAGTTTTCCACAGCATGACTACTATGGAAGTGTTTTGTATGACTATACAAGTATCACCTGTATCAATTTGCTTGCCTTCTCAATGAGGGTGGGTGAGGAGGGAGGAAGGGAGAAAATTTGGAACCCAAAGTTTTAAAAACAAATGTTAAAAAAATTGTTTTCACATGCAACTGGGAAATAAGATATACAGGCAATGGGGTAGAGAAATCAATCCTGTCCTACAGGAAAATAGAAGAGGAAGGGGATAAGAGACAGGGGCAGAGATAGAAGGGAGGGCAGATTGGGGGAAAGGGTATTCAGAATACACACTGTCTTGGGGTTGAGGCAGGGATGAGATGGGGAGAAAATTTGGAACTCAAAATCTTGTGGAAGTAAATGTTGAAAACTAAAGATAAATAAATTAATTAATCTTAAAAAAATATATATGCCAGTATTTTGTGGTGGCAAAGAATTGGAAATCAAGGGGATTCTCATCAATTGGGGAATGGCTGAACAAGCTGGGTTATAATGATGTTAATAGAGTACTGTTGTGCTATAAGAAATTATGTGAGGGCTGGTTTCAGAAAAGCACAGCAAGATCTATGTGAATTGATACAAAGTGGCATGAGAAGAGATCATTTTGCACAATAACAAAGATGTTATAATGATAATCAGTTGTAAAGACCACTATAATCATTCAACACATTTCCAAAGGACTTATGATTTAAAAAAAAAATAATCTCTCTACCTCCACAAGAGAGAATTGGAGTGCAAACTCTGATGTGCAAATTGAAGTATAATGAACTCTGAGTACAAAGTGAAGTACAATTCTCACTTTATTTTTCTTGCTTTTTTGGAAATATGGCTAATACTGAAATTTCAGTTTTTTAATGATTTCACAGGTATAACTGATATCACGTTGCTTTCCTTCTGAAAGGGTAGGGGATCGTAAGGGAAAGAGGGAGAGAATTTGAAACTCAAAATTTAAAAAGAAAAGAATGTTAAATTAAAGTTATATAGTGCTTTACATTTTCAAGCAAGAGCTTAGTATGCTCAGAATTGTATTTTAGCAAGATGAACCTTACAGCAGAACGTGAAATACCTTGAAAGTATAGGGGAAAAGTGGCAGAGGTTAGTAGGACACTAAAAATAGGGCAACCCAAAGAAACAATGAAGACCTGACACACTGTCAAAGTCCTGAGGGTGAACTGAGTATATGGAGATGGTGGAGGACCAAGAAGTTTTATATCTGAGTACATGGAATAAATAAACAGAAAGAGCTGGTTTGAAGGAGAATATAAAGGTAGATTTCCTTTTCAGATACAGCTCACAGATTCAGGGTTGCTTCACAATCACAAGAAGAAGGGGTATTCAATGATGAACTGAGGGATCAGATTTCATGGGGATCATCTCAAGTAAATGTGTGTATGGAATGAGACATTTGATTAAACTCCTAAGCTTATTATACTTCGTATAAGTATTTGCTGTTTTGAATGTTATTCCTTTACCAGTTGAGAGTTAAATGACATTCTTCTTTCCTTTAGGTAGATAGAACTAATAGTAGAGTGAAGAGTGGGGTTGGACCTGCCAGGACCCTTGAATTCCTACCCCAAAATGTTTCACTGGTGATGGTTTGTGGTGATGAAAGTGAGTATATATCTTCAAATGATGAGATAGAAACTCTTTAAATACTTTCAGGTGAAATACTCTGTAGAGAAGATAGACCCTGGGAACCTAGACAGAAACACTAGAACAGCACCTAATATAATGCTTATCATGGAAGGAGTTCTGGCCAGGAATACTCACAAAGAGAGGGCAAGGTTGTGTATAGGGTTCTATTATAGATAATGTTATGTTTTTCTTTGTTTATTTGTTTTTAGGCAATTGGGGTTAAGGTCATTTTATATTATAAGATTTACATGGGAAAAAATCAAGGCACTCCAGGGAATAGATGAAATAAAATAGGATAAAGAGAAGAGAGAGAAGGGAACGTGGGAGCAAGGCATAACTGTAGAGGAAAGAGCAAGGGAGAGATGGAAAGAAAAAAGAAGGAAGACAAGGAGAGAAAGTGAAAATGAAAGAGAAAGAAAAAAAGTAAAGGGAAGCAGATAACTACAAATGTTTAGATAGAGCAGATGTACATTTTTAGTTCTACAGCCATATGTTCTGCTAGGTTTGAAATTTAAGTCCTGTGGGCTTCATCGCTCATTAGATTTAACCAAAAGTGCTTGGTTGAAAAAAACCAAGAGAAATGTAGATTCACCCATCTGTCTGCTCCAACGTGGTTGCTTCCCTGTGTGCAGCTTTATGAGTTTACTTTTTTGTTTGTTTTTTACTTTAGGAAAATTGACAACTGGATAAGAAGAACAAGTTACAGGATGTCTATCTAGATTTAATCACTCCACCTGTTGTCTCTGTGCCCATCTGAATGATGGATGAGGCATGGGGGAAATTTGGTAGATTTGTTAATACTACAGGAGATGATTTCCTTTGATCATTCTTCACAGCGCACATGGGCATCTGTAGGTACAATTTAAAACTGTATAACCTCTGCATGTGGAAAGGTTGGTGTATTCAAAAGGAGAACATTAAGTGCATCCTCTTTCTAACTTTCAGGAGTCCATATCCCTTGGTATCTGTCTGATTTACTTGTTTATTGCTTTCAGCGATGAGAAATGGATTACCTCCAATGACAGCCGAATCGCTCCTAACTGCATTGGTGAGGGGTTCCCGTTCATCTGTCTTCCCAAAAGGATCTGCAATATACCAAATAGAAAAATCATATTCCTCATTTTGAATATCTGAAGTGGCTCTAAACTCTAGAAATGATTTGCATGTGCTTTGGTCCTGTTATTCTCTAATGTGTGTCTGGCTCAGCAAAGGGACAGGATAAACAAGTAAGCCTGAAACCATTGTCTATTTAGATACACATCACATTAATTAGTATAGTCCCTCTTTATGATACTATCACTCAATTTTTAAATAAGAAAAAGTGAAGATTGGGGTTTAAACAATTGTCCAATGCCTGACAAAAACAAACAGAAAATTGGGACACTGAAGGCTACGTCTAAAACACCTGTTGTGAGCTCCATCTAGTGAGGCTTGAAATACCAAAGGCAGAATTTGTGTAATATTAAATAATGTCACAGAATCACAAAATTTCATACTTGAATGGGATATCACAGACCATGTAGTCAAAATATTTGAAATTAATCAACTCTAGAATTTATCTGACAAATGATCATTCCCACTTTTGCATAGACAACACTAGAAAAAGGGAAGTGACCCCATTACACTTTCTAATATTTCTAAGTTTTAGGAACATTTTTTGTTAACATCAAACATCTCTTACATCAATCGTTTCTTTTTACATTTGCCTCTCTACAAGTTCATTCCATTGCTATAGTTCTGCCTTATAATGCAAGGCAAAATAGATTATGAACAGCCCTTCCAATATATGAAAAAACAAAACAAAACAAAACACAATTATCTTGTTTGCCTTAAATCTTCTCCAGGCCAAACAGCCCCAGTTCCTTCAACTATTTTCCATATGTCATGAATGTGAGGCTCTACAGTCTTCTAGTTATGCTTCTTTGGGGAAAAAAAGCTGCAATTTTCAACTTACTAAAGAATTCCTAGAATGTAGTATATAGACTTAAACACAATATTCTAGGTCTAGACTAACTAGTGTAGAGGAGAGCCAGATAGTCACTTACCTAGTCCTGGAAACAATATTTTTCTTAATGCTGTCCCCCAAGTTCCCATTAACTATTTTAAATGTCATTATTTCAAGTGAACTGCTACCTAATCATATCTTTCTTATCTTGTAGTTATGAAAATGATTTTTAAAATCTGAGATATAAGATAATATTTATCCCACATTAAATTAAAAAAATACATTCGCCCAACCTTTTACCTTATCAAAGTATTTTTGGATCCTAAGTATGTCAGTGTGTTAACTATTTTTCCTAGGTTTATGTGATCTGCAAATTTGGTTATATAGGTCATTTATGTTTTTATCTAAGGCATTAATAAAATGTGTCAGACAAAACAGTACCGAGCAGAAATGCATGAGGGGCTACAAAAGAGGCCTCTTTTTAAATGGATACAGCTATTCAATCAATTTTCTATCTACCTAACCATTCTACTGTTAAATCTATATTTTAATCTTATTGACAGGAAGTAGAAGAGAGATTCTGTTAAATGCGTTGCTGAAATCTAAGTAAATTATAAAACATGTCTTTGAAATACATTTCTAATTTCTGTCAAAGAAACTAAGATTAGCTTGACATGACATTCTTCTTTAAAATATATTTTATGGATGTCATTTGTCTTTGTAACATAGTTATTTCCCACCACAGCCCCATCCACCCCCACTGGAACTTCCTTTCTAGAGACTGAAAAATAATTAGGCAAAATATCTGATTCAAAAATATTTTCTAATATTGTATGGTCTATTCTGTGCTATGAGGGCGGAGATATGTTTGGTTGCTCATTATCCAGAGTCTGCATTATTTTTTTTTCACTGAAAGATGTTTAACCTCCATTCAATTGTTTTCATTATCATTATTGAATATATTGCCCTCTTGGTTGCTCATTTTTTGATTTGTATTAGTTCACATAATTCTTCCTGCGCTGTTCTGAATTTCTCATTATTGCACCATCATACATATCCCATTACATTTATATAACTATTTGGAACCAATTAGAAGTCATTTGGCATTAGCTTTATGAGGGTTGCAATGGAGATTCTCGTACATACCAGGATTTTGTTTATGTCTTTGACTTCATCCCAGTAGGTACACTGTTGGGTCAAAAAGTGTGGGTCATTTGGTAACTTTTCTTACATAATTTCAAATAAAAATTCAGAACAGTTGAGTCACTTGCAGCTCAACCAAAAGTATGACAGTATGTCTGCTCTCCCACATCCCCCCCAACACTGACTTTTTCCATTTTTTAAACCTTAAGAACTGGATCACCTCCATATTCTTTTATTGTCTCTCTAAATCCTACCCAGCTCCTTCACTGAGACTTTCCTGAAGATTCAGATGCTTCGCCATTTTTCCTTTCTTAGAATTCATAGGCCTTAAAGTCTAATAATTAATTATACATATATATAATATATAATTATATATATAAATAATTAATTATGAATGGTTTTATAATATTTCTTATATAATTATTCTCCATTATTATTTAACTTTGAGGCCAGGGATGTAATTTTATTCTTTTTAGTTCTTTACAACCTCTAACATATTGCCTTGCATACAACAAGTGCTCAATCTATATTCCAAGGTTGATGGAATGCAAGGGAGTGACTTATTGCCCCATTTACCATCTCTCCTTCAGATTCTCTTCCCTCTATATTCCAATGACATCAGTAGTGGGGTGGGTGGCAGAAGATGGAAGGTGATGGAATAAAAAAGGGAGGAGGTTTTAGTTATGCCCATGTATGTTAACTATCTGATGAAGGGCTTGTGCTACAAGTAAATGCCATTCATTTAATACTTGAACCACTTAACATTATTTATTACAGACATTTTTAAACAGGCAGATTACTGCCAAAGTACTTCAGCTCATTCTGCTTGCCTGGGCCCTCCTTAGTTCTTTAGATAACTCCAATTCATCTTTACAAATCCATTAAAAAATTGGCCCAAGATACCTCTTAATCTTTATTATGTCTTTCTCTCTGTTCACTGAGAAAGAATCTAATGGAATAAATATAAAATTAAAAAAAAAGCTGAGATCTTAGAGATGGACAAGAAATGAAGAAATCCTCTGGAACTAGTCAATACTTACTCTCCCCTTCCAGGAAGATAAGATGTAACTAGGCTCATTTTACAAATGAAGTCTTTGAAGCTCAGAGAGGTTAAGTAATATGCCTAAGGGCACACAGTGACTTGTTGGTTGAAGGAGAGGAAAGGAATCAGAATTGAGGTCCCTTGACATCCTTTTGCAATGTTTCTTCTATATCATAGCACTGCTCTGACCACCACCATCACCCCCAATCCCCCAAAAAATAAATTCATAAACAAATGAGTAGATTAATGAATGAATGGATTTATATAAATAAATGAAGAAATCAATCTATCACTCAATTGCTTTAGCTTAAAAGGAATGTCTAGGAAGAAAATTAAATAACAATTGAGAGTTGTATCATAGTAGAAAGATCACTGGACATTTTTCTGTTTCTGGCTCTATAAGAAATTCATTTCAAGACTTTGTTAACAAGTGACACACAATAATATAACCTTAGCAAAATGAAAGGAGTTAGACTAGATTTACTTTAATGTCTTCTTCCAGCACTAACATTCTATGATTCTAACCTAAAAAATCTGACTTGTCCAGATTTGTAAACCCAAGCTGGTTCTGCTTAACTTTCTCATAGGAAAAAAAAGGAGCCAGAGTTGTTTCTCTTCTTCCAATAATTCTTTCAGTTGTCTTACCTCCTCTGCTCAGAGCTGGTAGATAGACCTCTCTAGGAACACATTAATTATGCTCTACTCCAGGCTGCTCATGTTGAGAGAACTAGGAGAAATCTGGAGAAGGGCAGAAGCATTGTCATACTGTCTTATTGTTAAAGGAATTCCACTTCAATGAAAGACCTGGCTTCCTACTAACTAATAATGGATGCTGATTAACTTTTCCTTAGCCAAAAGGAATGTGATGTCCGGTCTCTGGTTGTTGGACTCAAAAAGTTTCCAACACCTGCTATGGAACAACTGGCAGAAGCCCCAGGCAGAGAAAATGGGGCAGATGTAGCCTTCAGGCAGAACTTCTATGCCAAAGAAGCCACAAATTCATTGAAAACTAAGCATTTTCATCCACAAAATAGCTGGAAAACTCATCATCAAAAGACAGGATCTAATTATCTAATCTCATCAATTTTGGTCAATGTCCATAATTATGACATTTTTTTCCAGTAATTGGGATTGCAGAGGAGATGAAGGAAGATATATTTTCATTGTGTTAAGAAGAAAAGACCTAGGGGTAAATAATTAATATTAGTATCTTGCTCTCACATCACACTTCCTTTCTTTCCCATCTTACAATTTATTTTATTTTTGTATAAACCCTTTGAGGTAAGAAGGGAACTACTATTTTCATTTAATATGGAAGGAAATTGAAGTATTACATATGCTGGTGATTTGTCCAAGGTCATACATTTATGTATGTAACCAAATAATTGCTTAGTGGTGAAGATGAAATTACAAATCTGGCCAGTTGACTCTTGAATCTGCATTCTTTCTACCAGACCATTATGACTCCCAGTAGCCTGCCAGTCACTGAAACTAGCTGTTAGATTTTATCTTTAATTCATGTAAAGGTAGTAATAGAAATTACTTCGATATAACATTAATCTAAACAATAAATACAAGGTGAGCGACTTCTATGATACTTGGAGAGCTAAGGAAGAGATGTTATTAGATGGTGACCATACTTTAATGAGGAGTTATGACACTGAGGCTAATCCTCACATGTTATGTCTATTTGGAATAAACAACTGCATTTCATGAAACCCCTTCCATTTTCATCACTACCAGGAACTGAAGACTAACTAGCCTCCAAGCACCCTTCTCCTGAGCTCTCCAAGGATACAACTCTCAGTAGCTCTCAACCCAAGTAGATGAATGCAAGTACTGTTGCAGACTTTATGTCCTGAATATAAGTTCACAGGGTAAGACCTAGAGATTTTACCTAAACAGTAAATCATAATTTTTACATATTGATTCACACACACACACACACACACACA